GAGCGCGCAGCCGTACTTGCTCAACATAGCGGGGAGGTCCCTGTGCCTGAGCTTGGGGGGGGGGTCTTAAAATTGCTGTGTCCTACTAGAGCATCAATTCCAATGTTTTGGACATTGGCATTTCTATTGCACTCTGCCTGTTTTTCACATTCATCTTGGTAAGCAGCTTTCCATAAAAGAAAATCACCTCCCTGTAAGCAGGCAAGGGCGATATTCTGCCAATCATAGGGGGTATTGACCAAATGACTGATTGTATCTAATAACTGACCAAACCAGGGGGAGGGAATGCCATCCTCAACTGCTGCCTTACACAGCTTCCTTAAGGTATCATGAGAATATGGATTCCAGGTATTAGGGTTCTGTAGTCCCTGATTGATGGTAACCGGGAAAAACTGTGGAAAATCTCCCATTGTATCATAGAAGAGGAGCCTAGACAGGAGAGGCTTCCAGTCCTCCTCTGGGAGGGAGGGGTGGATGGACTGGGGGAAACTTCCTTAAAGCCAGTATAAGATGGCAGAGGGTAGCCACCGCCCCATAATGGTGGAGCAGAGGCGGCCTTAACTTCTTGTTTTTCATCAAGGGAGCCCTCAAACACCAATTCCTTGTTTTTTATATCATCATTAGCAGTCATTGTTTCATCAGAATAAGAATCCGTTAGCTTTGTTTTAACTGGACATGCCTGGGACAGGCTGTCCCCAGCCTCCTGTTGTTGTATTTGCTCATCTATCTCCTTTATTAGATTTTCCTGTTCAGGGGCTTCAGGGGAACCCCCTGAAGGGAGGCCAGAATGACTGTCACAATGGGGTAGAACAGCCCAGATTGTGGGTGTCCTTCCCTGACTTCTCTATGCCGTGCCAAGAATATGCAAGCCCATTGTTCAGGATCCCAGCAACAAGAATCTGTAAACCAGGGGGCAAGAGCTAGTACTTCATCTAAAACCTTAGTTATATCCTTTTCTGTTACCCTAATTTGCCTACTCCTGAGGAGAGAAACCAGTGCAACAGTGCAGGGTCTGGCAGCAGCTGGATGACTCGTCCTATTGCAGAGACACTTATACATCCATGTTTGTTGCTGCTCTTTTCACAATAGCTAAGAGATGGAAGCAACCTAGGTGTCCCTCAATTG